AGGGCAGGCGTCGATGACAACGTGCGAATGGGAGGGCGAGCTGATCGAACTGCATGGCCGTCTGATCTTATCGTCCACGACAAGATCAAGCGGCCCCCGAGATCTTGGAGGAAAACTCGCCACCCCTCGCCCCCTCTTCCAGTCGTCATCCCGTGCGTCGCTGGGGTCGGCGCCGCGCGGTCGGCCGCCCCGCAAGGGCTGGGAGGGCCGCCGCCCCCGAGCTCCTCCCCCCCCATCCTCGATCCTCACACGTGCGCGGCAAGGCCGCCCCGCGAGGGCGGGGAGGGCCGCCGCCTCGTGCGCGGCAAGGCCGCTCCACGAGGGCGGGGAGGACCGCCGCCTCCGAGCTCCTCCTCATCGATCCTCACCTCCGAGCCCCTCCTCATCGATCCTCACCTCCGAGCCCCTCCTCCTCCTCATCATCGATCCTCACCTCCAAGCCCCTACCCCCCAACGCGGCAGAGCCGCCCCGCGAGGGCGGGGAGGGCCGCCGCCTCCGATCCCCCCCCGCACCCAGGGAGCAAGGCCGCCCCGCGAGGGCGGGGAGGGCCGCCCCCTATGTTTCACCCGCTTGCACGCCCCATGGGCCACTGAGCGGCGCGCGCCGCTTCCCCCTTCGCCCCTGCGCCCCAGGAGGCGAAGGACACGGCGCTGTTGTTGTACGACGCGCCGCATTCGGACACCCATGTATGTGTCATGTATACCATCCCTTCCTCCTTCAACTCATCGAGCCCCCCCCCGTCCTCCTCCTTCTTTATTCCTGCTCCCCCTCCTTCCTCATCCCCATCGACGATCGTCGATAGGAGTTCCAGCGCGCCAGCGCGAGCGAAGTCCTAGTGCGGCTGAGGTGCCGGTTCGATCCATGATGCGCGAAAAAAATGCGCCCGCGGGCGCGTGGGGGTTGTCAGCATCCCTTTCTTTCTGGGCCCTCGATCCCCATTTCCTCGTTCTCGCGATCGTCCTCCTCGATCCTCTTCGACCCTTGCTCCTCGCGGTTTGCCTCCTATAGATCACGTCCTCCTCGGCCCCCGATCTCATCGTTGTCGATCCTCGATCCTCCTCGACCGTCGATTCCCCATCGATCCCCATCACCTCGGCCCCCGATCCACGCAGCAATCCTTCCTTGCCCTCGATCCTCGATCCCAGTCTCCCCCTACTGCAAGTTTCACGTTTCAGGCGCGCATCGCCTGCCCGCGCTCGTTGCGTTTCGACCCCTGCAGGTCGCCCTCGAGCCCCCCCCCCCCCCTGCGCCCGGTCTCGGAACCGCGCCCCGCCGTATTTCTGGAGGATGTCGCGGGGATCACGAGCAAGTCAAGGGAACGCGACGTTTATGATCATGCATGTATGGCGAGGGTCCGAAACACATATATCACAATCCTTTCTCATCAATGCGCGCGCGATCGCGTTCCGAGACAGGGGGGGGGCCTGCGATCTGCGCCGTTGCTTCGGTTGATGCGCTGTGCAGTTCCATGCAAGAACTTATCTGTTACGCGATGCCCCGCAAAAAGTGCTCGATACATCCTCCACAGCCGCTGGGCGTCAGAGGCCCCCGGGGTCGAGGGGCGGGAAGAGTCGGCGATGCAGGAGGCGAAGGAAAACAACACATCATGGAATTCGAAATTTAATCTCTTGCACTTCCCCCCCCCCGACCCGAAACCCCATCCGAGCTCCCTCCCCCCCCAGCGCCTCCTGTGTGCTCAGGAGCGCGGTACGTCCCCGTCGCGAAGGCGACAGGGTGGAGATCTCGCGTATACGCATACGATCGTCGGAAAAAAACACATCGTCCCTGCCGCCCCCTCTTCCTGCACGTGTTCGAAGCCTTTTTTCGATTTTTCCTGCAGCTCACGGCGCAGTCCCCTTCTCGTCTTCGAACGGCCTCACCCATCAGCCCCCTCGGTGCACTGCGGCCGTTGTTTTTGTTGGTCGAACGTGTTTCGACGCAGCCGCCAGTTGACTGGACACCCGCCGCCGCCGCCGCGCGCGCCGAAACCCCGACCGATGTCGGCCCTCAAGACGATCCGCAAAACCAGCGGAAGGCAATCGAGTTGGACAGTGGATCGACGATATAACCCTGCAGGGCGTGCTTTTTATATCTGTACATATAAATGTACAAATATGTGTACATATATATATATGTATGTATGTATGTATATATATATATATATATATATATATATATATATATCACTCTCTCCCTCGCGTCGCGGTCAGTTCTGGCCGAGGACGGGCGCGGGCTACCCGTGGAGGGAGCACCCGTCGACGCTCTGGACCCTGAGTCGGAAATCTCTATCTCCTTCGATCCTCGATCCCTACCCCGCCTCCGCTCGGTCGACTGCGACGCGGCGCGTCCGAGAACGTGGAGTTGAAGTGCGTGCGCGCTCCCGACACGCTTGCATGGAAAACGGTATATGATGCGATGCTATATCATATAAATATAACATACTAGCATGTATATACATGTACATATAATCTCAGCCTCAGCCCCAGCCTGCCTCAGCCTCAGCCTGTCAATGTCAATGATGTTTTTCATCCGGTGCCAGTGCTGGCGCCAGTGCCGGTGCCGGTGCCGGTGCCAGCAGGGCTGGTGCCGGTGCGGGTGCGGGTGCCAGTGCCGGTGCTGGCGCCGGCGACTGCGCTGGTGCCCGTGCCGGTGCCGGTGCCAATGCCGCCGGCGCAGGCGCCGGTGCCGGTGCCGGTGCCCGTGCCGGTGCCGGTGCCGGTGCCGGTGCCGGTGCCGGTGCCGGTGCCGGTGCCGGTGCCGGTGCCGGTGCCGGTGCCGGTGCCGGTGCCGGTGCCGGTGCCGGTGCCGGTGCCGGTGCCGGTGCCGGTGCTGGTGCCGGTGCCGGTGCCGGCGCCAGTGCCGGTGCCGGTGCCGGTGCTGGTGCCGGTGCCGGTGCCGGTGCCGGTGCCGGTGCCGGTGCCCCCCGCCCTACCCACCACCCACGCACGCACACGCCACGCACGCACTCACCCGCAACACACACACACACAAACACACATCCGAAGCAGAGGGAAGGGGTAGATTGAGGGAGGGCAAAGTGAGCGAGGTCTGATTACCCTGTCCATGGCCATGTGGCGGGATCAACAGCACTGGCATTGTGCAGAGCAGCGTGCAGAATCGAGGTGTGGGCCATATCCGACATGATGTTCTTAATATTGAACGCCGGAGTGCGAGCACCTAGCCGACACATCTCGAGTGAAAATATCATGACCTGGCACCGGGCATTCTATTGGAGGGTCAAGCCGCGAAAGTCTGTCAGACCACGGGCGTGTGTCACAGGGTTTTCCTCCTCCTCCTCCTCCTCCTCCTCCTCCTCCTCCTCCTCCTCCTCCTCCTCCTCCCCCTCTCCATACCCACACTCCTCCAAGTGTGGCTTTCACCGACGGCTCTTAGCAGGGCCGATACAGGATGCCCTTGTGGTGTAAGCAGCAGTTCCTGGGCTGCTACCCAGGGTTTTTCAGTTCACCCCGAACCTCTTCGGCCCCAGGCAGCTCGTGCTTTTCGCAGTGTCGTTTCGGGCCTAGCACGAATCCATTGATGTTAGTGGCGGGTGTTCGGCGTCCAAACGGCGCCAATGAGAGAGTTTCCTCCGCTCCTCCACCTCCTCTCTCCTCGAAATAATGCAGCTCGACATGTGTAAGTTCAGTTTTTGTCGCGCCGAGCCTCTGATATCTGTCTGAGCGCCGCGTGGATACATGGAATATCAACGTAAATACATGACACAATCAACGTGTCACCTGCGAGGAGCTTATTTCGAAGTAGTTGCTTTGCCAGCTCTCACTTTTGTTGATTTAGTTTGATCCGGCTTTTCACCTTAGCCTCAAAATTGGCTGATTCACCTGGGCCACACTGTGTGTTGCGAGGAAGAATGCGTATTGCGAGGTGGAGCAAATATTTCCTTGTCGCCGAGGTACGCCTACTTTTCCCCAGCACCAGTCTCAATTCGTAATGACGCTAGAGGAATTATAAGTGATGTTGATTTGCCTTGATGAATCTTTTGCTCGGTTTGTTTGGCAGCTTCATCAGTGATCTGCATATCAGTAGCATCACGGCAGGAATGAAGATGGACAGTTCCGTCAACAGTGACGATCCCAGAACGAAATTGAAGAGAGGCAGCAATACGATCATCGAAGCAAAGGTAAACAGGTATTTGGTGTTTACGATTCGAGTGCCAACCAGCAAAGTGTGTCTTTAATGTTTCTTAGTGACCGTCACGGTTGTCCTGTTTGAGAATGTCGCTACGCGCAGTAATTCCATTGGGTTGCCATGGTCGCTAGGGAGGTACTGCGTGCACTGATCTACGCGGTCTTTGTCAATTTGCGCGCCAGCGGAAATTGTATGCTGCGTGCCAATATGTGTGCCACCGTGTGCTCTGTCAGCTGTATTTGTGCCAATAACATTGGTGTCCTCAACAGTGTGTGAGCACTGCCGCGGACTGTACTGCGGCGGCGGGTAATTGTCGCAACTGGGGAATGAGAGTGGGTGGAGCAGTCAAAATACACATTCGAGATACAAACGCGGAGGCATATTTATTGGGAGATGAAGGGGGATGTTGTGTACCGCCTGTTCGAGACATGTGGTGCCACACAAGTCTCGCATCGTTAATGCGTATTGGTATGCGATGCGTGCGTGCTGCATAACCAAGTTGTCTCATTGCTTTAGGTTTTGTTTTGGACGTGCCCATTTGCCATGCTGGACGTCGCTGAAATGATGACGAGGTTTAGGTGTCCATCATGGCCTCACCGAAGCGTGCCCCCCTTCGGGCTGCGCAGCGGTGGAAATCGTGTCGAAATCGCCAGTGCCACGCGAGGGGGCGCCGCGCTTAGCACCCACCCGCGATGCCCTTGGTGCCCTGTGCATCCGAAAGGCTCGAGGCGCGGATGCTCCTCCTCCTCCTCCTCCTCCTCTTCCTCCTCCTCTTCCTCCTCCTCCTCCTCCTCCTCCCCACCTGCGCCCCCCTCCTCCCTCTCGTTCTTCCTCTTCGTGCTTTCCCTTGCAGGACCAGGGGGGCGTGTTTGCCCCTGAGCCGCGATACGCCAACGACGGGACCACCGTCGAGTGGGAGGTCGGCGCCACTTCGAGCGGGGGCTACTGGGGCAGGCCGAGCACGGGAAAGGGAGGGCACACGAGAAGGTTCAGAGCGGGACGAAGGGGAGCAGGGCAAGGAGGGGGGAATGGGGGAGAGAGGGAGGGATGAGGAAGAAGGGAGTTGGGAGGAGCGATGAGCGGGGAGGGTGGGGAGGCGGGAGGAGAGGGAGTGAGAAAGGGAGGGAGGGCATCGGCATCGGCATCGGTATCGGCACGCGTCGACAATTTGGCGAATGTAGTTTAGTATAACGCCTGCGGGCGAGCGCCCCTGATCCAGGCTGGTAAGAAGACCAAGGGTGTGCCGACACACCATGGTCGTAAGGCGGCCGCTGCCGCGATTGGAAGCTGCACGCTTCAACACAGAGGATAAGGAAACAAGGAGGAAGATGAGGATGAGGGAGGAGGAAGAGGAGGGAGCGATGATTGTGTAATGGAGGGGGGAGTGATGGAGGGGAGGGTGGGAGGGAGCGGAGGGGAAGGAGTGAAGGGGAGGGAGGCGGGAAGGGAGAATCGCGCCCCGGAGAGAGATAGCAGCGCCGGCTTCTTCGAAGCTCCCAGGGTCGTCAAGGTGGAATGCTCGCTGCTGAGGCCTTCCTCCACGTCAGCCCGCGCAGACGTGGGACCCCCCCCCATCCACACCTGACGCCCAGAGCAACAAGGTGCCCTACCAGCGGGTGCCCATCCGGTTGCCTCAAAGATGTGCTAGTTTGGGGTCGTGCGATTGCTGGCGTGGCTTGCACCCCTCGAGTCCCCATCCCTGCCCTCCCCTCCCTGTCCTAAGTCACACAATCATGAGTGCTACTCCCCTCTCTCCCCAGACTTTGTCCCAGTGTCCTCCCGCCTCTCTCTCTCGCGTAATGCTTTTCACGGCAGGGTCGATGGCCCAGTGTGCTACTGCAGTGTTGTAGGTTGTCCACTGTGCCATGTTCGTCGATGATCATGGTAGTGGCGGTGATGGCGATAGCGACGACAACGACGATGACAGTGATGACGACGATGGTGATGGTGATGAAGAGGGTGTGAAACGATGATGATGATGATGATGATGATGATGATGATGATGATGATGATGATGATGATGATGATGATGATGATGATGATGATGATGATGATGATGATGATGATGATGATGATGATGATGATGATGATGATGATGATGATGATGATGATGATGATGATGATGATGATGATGATGATGATGATGATGATGATGATGATGATGATGATGATGATGATGATGATGATGATGATGATGATGATGATGATGATGATGATGATGATGATGATGATCCTGAAACACCTGGGCCCCGACGAGACAGCACGGGCGTCCGGAGGGAACTGGTGACAGCTGATTGCCCACCGCGGATGCTGTCGCACCTTCTGGTCAACTCTTGGCGGACAGCTTGCGGGAGATTGTGGATCCAAGTCGATTGCAAAGCCCTGACGGAAACGTTGGCGGGGAGAGCTGTGATGCAGTCTGTTCGATATGTCCCCATCTTCAAGCGTATCGGGCGCTTGATCTTGAAATTGCATATGAGAGGGATTCAGCCGCTCCACGACGTCTTGGACTACGTCATCTGGCCGCCGCGTGAGTACAACGCACTAGCAGATCACAGCGCCAACGTAGCCATGGACGAATGAAGAACATGGTCATCGGGGTGCAGCGTGTGCCAACGCCGATCCGCGAGCGAAATATTCGCCTCTGTACGGATGGCGGGTTCCGGACAGGTGGGGTCGATGAGAATAGCAGCTATTGCTACAGCACCATACGTCGGGCAGGCGTTTTACTGAGGGCATCACATCCGCATTTGAAACCGAGGCGCTGGCGCTAGAAGCAAGCTTGGACTGGCTTAATCAGGCCGTCGCATAGCGTGAACTTGTGCGGGCGAGGGTCCATGCGCATTGCGAAAGAAAGAGAGAGGTGATGATGATGAGTATGGTGATGATGATTATGGTGCTGATGATGATGTTGACGATGATGATGAGGATTAGGATGAGAATGAGGATACTGCTGATGGTGATGGTGATGGTGATGATGGTGATGATGATGATGGTGTTGATGATTATGATGCTGATGACGACGACGGCGACGGCGACGACGATGACGATGACGATAACGACGTTGGCGATGCCGGCGATAGTGGTGCTGATGAGGATGGTGAAGAATTGCGCGCGAAGAAAAACTGTCAGACTTTTGAGGGACAGACCACAGTGTTCCCATACGCTGTTGAACACATTTCGAGATGTATAGAACAGTAAGCGTGTTCGGAACACTAAGCGTGTACGAACACGCTGGGTGTTCATACTTAATGCGACATGCTCGCGTGGGAACGCGCACGTGTGGCCCGACCAATCTCATTTTCATGTTGCAGAATTGGCGGGTGCACGATGATTGTTGGATAATGCCGACATGCGCGTGCGCGTTGTCCGCATGGCCCCATTTGGATCGAGTGGAACAGCTGAACACATCGGCCTTGCGAAAGACCCAGGCAGCCATTGGAGTTTTGGGTTAAATTCCTGATGGAGATGGATGGGCTCGACCTTTCACCTCCCCGCCGGGAGGTGCGCGCCATGGTGACGCCAATCACTCCAAACGAGGCTCCCAACACCATCACCGTCGAAACGATCACAGACGCTGTGGCGAGCATGTTTGATAAGAAGTTCAATGAGAGGCTCGACCCCATGACGAAGTCAGTCGAGTCGATCACCAAACGGATGGACGAGATGGAACTGACCGTAGAAAACATGATGGACGAGATGAGGACGCGCATGGACACGTTCGAATGTTGCAGGAGACGGATTCCAAAATCTACCGCTTGAGCGAAGCAATCGACCAGCGCTGAAAGTGCATTTCGATGACGCTGACACTGCTCCGCCATCGTAGAGCAGCACCCCGAGAGCCACACTTACGGACGAGCGAAGGGTCACTGCAATGGCCAATGGAATCGTCGACATGGAGGAGAAGGAGGCGAAGGAGTGTATTCAAAATAAGTTGCGGGAGTTTTGGGCGCCTGCGACGACGCATGTGTATTCCGAAGGGGGGGTCGCCGGGTCCTCTTGCCCAAATTCCGTACGGAGTACAAAAAAGAGCAGGCGATCAAAGCAGTGAGGGAGAATTTGTTGAAACACGGCGACAAGAATATCAACGTGTTTCCAGGCGCGCCTCCAGGAGACCGGATTCCACAATCAGTTTGTGTTTGCTGTCAAACGTTTGTTGGTGGACTGGAACTATGATCGAAACTGCGCGCGGGTCGACGTTCCGAGCAAATCTTTGCGCGTCAGCGGAGAGAGCGCCATCGGCACTGGAGTGGGGGAAATGGATCTCATCGCGGATTCTGGGGAAAGTTGGAATGATTATCTTCGTTGCGAGGAATTCGAGGATATGGCGATCACGTATCAGGAGAAGTTGAAGACAAGCCTCACGCCGAAGATGGGCAAGGGCACAGGCAAGAATAGCGCAGGACGGGCCGAGGGCCCAGAATAGGGATAGCGCTGTTCAAGTCAAGTTTCACCCCGCCCACGGGGCGGGATAATGCACGTTGTCTGCAAGAATGCGCGGCTCAATGGCCCACGCAAGCTTGCAGAATTGGCGGTCGTATTCGCAGCCCTGGATTGAGATGTGATCCCTTTTTTATGTGAAACTCGCGCGGGGAGCCAGACTGTGGACGTGGCGGGCGCACGTCGATTGCATCTTCATCGTGAAGAGTATTATACATCACGGGGTGGCGCGTTGATTCATGCACGTTGGTGGGGGGCGGCACGAGATAGAGTATTGCGCGTTGATTTACTCGTCGTTCAACGGAAGAGTCCGTTCCGCGCCGCGGGGTACCAAGAGCGCCCGGCTGCCATTCTGGACCAAGCGCACGAACGAGCGCGCCGGACATTGATGCAAGCAGTTCGCGATGGATGCGCTGTCGTGGCAGGGTTAGGAGGCGACTTCACCTCGCAATGGGGCAGTGAAGATCGTGGCCAGAAAACGGCAGAGATAGCGTCCGCATTCAACCTGTCGATTGTCAACGGTGCTGGGAATGGCCGGGAGGGGCGCAGTTGGACTTTCAGGAGCAGCGTAGGCCAGCTGCGAAGAATAGATTTCATGTTTTGTGTCTTCGTACACGCCAGCAGTGGCCTGGGTGATGTCGCCGAATTTGGATATGAAGTCCGACCGTCGTGCTCTATATGTAGAGCTCGATGTCGAGAGGGCCTGGCGCCGACGCACGAGGCGACGAAGATCACGGTTGCGAGAATGGAGTCAATTTGAGAACGATGCTGCTTGTCAGGAGGCGTTGGGCGAGAAGTTCAACGAGCGCGCACCGACGTCTCCTTTCGAGGCGGAAGCCACATTGTTCGATGCTGCGGCAGCTCGCGGGCGAGGGGCCCGCAGCAAGCGACGGAGCTTCAACGACCAGCGGCGGGGTTCACCTCTTCTCCAAGATCACTTGCAACCGAGGCGCGAGTCACGGGGCCCCCAGCGGCGGGGGGAGCTTCAAAGAACATCCGAAGGCATGTCCGCAGGAGTTCAGACAACAAAAATCCAAGCCATCCGCCAGATCAAAGACGCAAGAAAATTACCGGCGCATTTGTCTACAAGTGGGTCTGGGGCGCATGTTGGGCCGGGGGGTTCTGCCAACTATTTCGAGGGGGTTTTCAAAACCGACACCGCTGGATCAGCATCTGGATATCAACCGTCTGAATTGGACGGCAGCCCTTACATAATCTATCAGGATGCCTCCTCTCGCGACGCGGGAGCATCGGCGCGCGTTGAAATCGACGAGTTTTCGGAGAGGTTCAGACGAGTTTTGGACGGTAGCTCAGATGTTCAGGAAATCGATGCTCTCACGTGATTCGCTTTATTGCTTGGCGCGTTCAATGAGGTTCTCCGCGAACGCGCGCTTGATCCGACTTGGAGAGAGACGCTGTTTTCGATTCTCTCGAAGACAGGCGACCTCAGCTTGCCGCGGGGGCCGGAGGCTGGTCGGAATGTTCTGGATATCGCACTAATTCTCGGCGCGCTTGATATATCGCCGCACTGATGGGGTGCTGGACGCGCAGCAATCCGTAGGCCAAGTGGGTTTCCGGGAGGTGCGTTATGTGGGCGACGCCTCTATTGCGTTCGGAGCTGCGTGCGAAGTGTCCGGAATGGAATGTGCCGCTTTAGAGTTTTAATCAGGGGCTGACCAAGACGTTCGATCGAATTGCATCCCAGATGTCGTTTGAGTCGCTGCGGAACCAAGGCGCGAGCGATGAGTGCGTCGTCATGCTGTCCGTTATCTGCGCGCGCCAAAGCGGTCGAGCCCGCGGCTCTCGCCGCTTCGACCTTCGGAGAGGCGTCAAACGGGGGGGCGCCCTGAGCCCGCCGTTCTTCAATGTGAGCTTCGAAGCAGCGCTGCGTCTGCGGAAGGCTGGGGGGGGGGGGGGGGGGGCGCGCGTTCGCGCTGGCGACGCATGCCCCCTGGCAAACATCAGATATGCGGACGACGTCACGTTTTTCCCTGCCTCCCGCAGGGATCTCTTCTACCGCGGCCTCATCGCTCAAAGAGAAGCTTGCGAAAGTAGATCGCAGCCTGAAAGCTGGAAAGAACAGGGTGCTTCTGACGGATGACAACAACGTAGCTTCGCTTGACCTCGGAGGGGGGCCCGTGGACGTCCTCGGCGGCGGCGTGGCCCATAAGTACTTTGTGAAGAAGTGGTGTGGGAAGCTGCGTGCCGGGGGCCCTCGCGACGCGGGCCACCAGGTCCAGGTTGCGCGGGCGAGGTTCCATCTACATCGTCGCATATTGACGAGCAAAGAGCTGAGCACATACTCTCAGATGCAGTTTTTCAGCGCCGCGATCACTCCGACGGTTTTGTTTGGCTTTTCGTTGTGCGCTATGACGCGGGCGCGGCTGAGTTCACTGGGCGCACTGCAAAAGCGAATTCTTCGTAACCTCGTCGGTTGGACCCGTCTCGCGGACGAGCTCTGGGAGGGCAAAATGCGAAAGATGCGATTGAAACTCGAGACTGATCTGACAAAGTTCCCAATTGAAGACTGCAGCGTCCAGTTGCTACGCTGGCACTTCAGATTGGCGAATCAATTTGGCAATATGAACGGCCGATGGTCTGCAACACTATGTCGTTGGCAACCGCCGACAACAGTTTGCGCTGATCCTCGTGCAGTTTCAATGGGTCAGACTGGCCAGAGGTGCCATTGCACAATGATTTTTTTCATCGCGGATACGATTTCGTGCGTTTTGTTTATTCGAGCACCAACAGTGATGCTCGAGGTCTACCACAGTTTCGCCGTACTCTGGGGCGTGCATGGACTCGATCGGACTGCCTGCCTGCCTGCCTGCCTGCCTGCCTGCCACGAAACGTGTGAGCGGTTTGCCGACATGTGCGACGTGGACTCATACTAACGCCGCCACCTGGGCCTTAGGAGGAGTTCCATGTGGTTCCACGAAGCGCGCGGGTGGTGTGCGGAAGTGTGCGGCGCGGACGCATGCGAATGCAGCTACTGGAGTTTTCGGTGGAGCTCCATGTGGGGCCACGAAACGTGTGATGGTGTGCCGAAATTTGCGGCGCGGACGCATGCGAACGCAGCTATTCGGGCCTTCGGTGGAGCTCACTGTGGGATTCGGAAAATGCGCGTATCCACGTGGCATGGATGAACGAAAGAGGAGGGAACGTAATGATTAATGAGGGGGAAGCGGGGAATGAACGATAAGGGAGGGAAGGGAGAGAAGGGAGGTCGTGGGAGGTGAGGAGGGAGGAGTGGTGAAAAGTGGGGGGAACGAGGAAAATGAACAGGACGTAGAGGCGGAAGAGGAGGAGGGGGAGGAGGAGGAGGAGGAGGAGGAGGAGGAGGACGAGGAGGGTGATGATAATGATGCTGATGATGACGATGATGATGTAGAGGAGGAGGAGGAGGAAGAGGAGGAGGAAGAGGAGGAGGAGGCCGACGACGACGACGACGACGACGACGACGATAAGGCAACGAAGGAACCTGCAGGGAAGGAGCTGGAACAGCGGCAGCCCATCCCAACCTGTCACCATGCCCCTATCTTGCCCCTGCCTTCACCCCGTCCTTTTTCCGTTCCCCTTCCCCTCCCCATCGCTCTCCTCTCATCCCTCCGTCCATTATTCCCTCCCTCCGTCCATCCTGTGTTCCCACCGTCCATCATCTCCTTTCTTCCTCTTCCCCTCCTTCTATCCGTCCCTCCGCCCTTTGGATGGCTGGCAGGCGAATGAAATTTCCTGGGTCGTCGAAAGTGTACGACTCCGAGGAAATATTCGCGGCGATGCTGCGCCGAGGAGGAGCAGGAGGAGGAGGAGGAAGAGGAGGAGGACGAGGACGAAAGGAGGAGGAGGAGGAGCAGCAGCAGGAGACGATAAGAATAGGGAGGCCAGGGATGAGGAGTTGAAGCAGCAGCAGAAACAGCAGGAGACGATAAGAACAGGGAGGCCGAGGAGGAGGAGGATGGAGGAGGAAGAGGAGGGAGCTTGGAGGATGGAGGAGAGCGTGGACGTCGTCGTCGTTGTTGTTGTCGTCGTCATCGTCGTCGTCACCTTTCAGTATCGGTGAAGGATGTGCCCCATGAATTCGTATAACACGATGTATTATCGTATGTGTCGACTGTTTGTTATATGGGTATTTATGTGTATATGCACACATACATACATACATACATACATACATACATACATACATACATACATACATACATACATACATACATACACACATATATATATATATATACATTCCTCTTCATATATGTTTCCAAGCCCGGGGGGGGGGGAAACCATCCCCCCCAAAAAATTACCCTGCGACGTACCCAACCCACGTGCATCAAATGGCAAGAGGAGTATGCCAACATTAGCAGGAACAACGACAGTGTAGACGCGGCGATTTGCTGTGCAAGCTACATGGGATGCGCATGCGTTGCACGATTCACAGGACGACGATCGAAAGAACGAGGCTTGAGGCCCCAGGATCGAAGAAGAACGGGTACGGGAACGAGGGGTAGGAGAGGGATGGAATGGAGGGCGGGGGGGGCGAAAGGCCATCGCGGAAGCAGCAGCATGCATGGAGAAGGTGAGGCGGGGAATAGGACGACGATGAAAGTGGCGGGAGGAGACAGAAGACTGCCGCGTTTTTCAAGTGCGAGCTAAACCCGCAGCGCTGCCTGCGCCATGTCGTCGCAGAGTTCCACATGATAAAACTTGTTTAGAGTGCAAGGAACGAGCGAGGCGTAGCTCGCCCGCTAGCTTCTCCGCCTCCTTCCCGCACATTTCAGCGCGGGAGCTGAACGCTCGCAGGCGCGCCGCCAGGTCTGCGGGCGGCCCGCGGGAAAGAAACTCAAGGCCGGGGTCGCGTATCATCAATCGGTTGTCCATCGTCCAAAGTTGCACTGGCGACGTACTGGTTGAACGCGGAGCGAGCAGCATCACGCGCGTGCCTGAACGCCACGCAGGTACAGTGCACGCGCGATTGGGACTTCAGGTCGATCACGCGCGTCTCCACCAGGCTTGGCAACACCACGCGACTGAGGATCTCACTGCGGTCTGCCATGCTGCTGTCCGCGAATGCAATGCGCTGCCTGCAAGTAAGGCGGCGGCGTCCACTTGTCTCAGAAGATGTTCCCGCGGGCCCGAAGGGCGACCGCCAGCTCGAGCCGCGGCGCCGGCAGGCCAGATAAGGATCATGCAACAGCAAAGACGATGACAGAGCAACGAGGTATCGGCGAGTGCATGACCGGCCTCCGTTTCCTGCACTTCTTTCCTGTAGTTCCCCTAGCTCATCGAGCTCAGCAGATGTTTCTGCGGGTCCGAAGGACGACCGCCAGCTCGAGTCGCAGCGCCACGTGGCACGAACCGCAGAGCAAGGGCACGCGAGCATTGCTCGTGGTCAGAATCTGAGTCCCCGTGGTGCCTCACTCCGCTGGCCACCCACCAGCAGCCCTCGAAAGTGGCGACAGTTTCACAGATCGCAGCCGCCCAGGGGTGGCGAGGTCTAATCTGAGTCCCCGTGGTGCCTCACTCCGCTGGACCCACCAGCAGCCTCGAAAGTGGCGACAGTTTCACACAGGGATGGCGAGGTCTAATCTGAGTCCCCGTGGTGCCTCACTCCGCTGGACCCACCAGCAACCCTCGAAAGTGGCGACAGTTTCACAGATCGCAGCCCCCCAGAGATGGCGAGGTCTAATCTGAGTCCCCGTGGTGCCTCACTCCGCTGGACCCACCAGCAGCCCTCGAAAGTGGCGACAGTTTCACAGATCGCAGCCCCCCAGAGATGGCGAGGTCTAATCTGAGTCCCCGTGGTGCCTCACTCCGCTGGACCCACCAGCAGCCCTCGAAAGTGGTGACAGTTTCACAGATCGCAGCCCCCCCCCAGAGATGGCGAGGTCTAATCTGAGTCCCCGTGGTGCCTCACTCCGCTGGACCCACCAGCAGCCCTCGAAAGTGGCGACAGTTTCACAGATCGCAGCCCCCCCCCAGGGATGGCGAGGTCTAATCTGAGTCCCCGTGGTGCCTCACTCCGCTGGACCCACCAGCAGCCCTCGAAAGTGGTGACAGTTCCGCAGATCGCAGCCCGCCAGGGATGACGTGAAAGGCAAGAGAAGAGAAGAGGAGGAACGAAGACAGGAGGAGAAGGCAAGCAAGAGAGGAGAGGAGGAGGGAAGAGAGGGGGGGGGCGGGAGGAGGGGAACGGAGACCGCAGTGCTCTATTCAGAACGAGTACCCAACGCAGGAGGGTTGGCAAAAACTTGACCCCCGGGATCTGGGGTTCTCGGGCTCCCTTGGACGTCCTTGGAAAAGGTCACCCGGCTTTCCGGATCTCCACAAACGCCTTGCCAGCAGACCCAGAGCGATCAGAAAGGCTCAAGGCAGGCCCCAGGCAGCACAAGAGCGCTCCAAGAGGGACTCCAATTGCGTCAGGAGGGCCCAAAAGACCCCCGAAGCACACCAACAAGTTTTCCAAGGGGCCGTCAAAACACAAAAAACGTCCCATTCCGTTCGTAAAACTGGCAAGTTTAGCATATTCGCCTTTCGGATTTCACCAGCTTTCAAGACGGTTTAAAAACCCCCGAGATCGCCTCCAGACGCCCCAAAAGGCCCCCAAGAAAGTTTCAAGACGGCCGAGCCGGGCCCCACGATCGCCCACGAGAGCCCCAAGACAGCCCATAAAGGAACCAAGAGGCCCCCCAGGGGCTCCCAGCACAGACCCAAAAGGGCCATGGGAGGTCCCCAGAAGTGCCCAAGATGGGTTCAAAGGAGGCTCCAGTGGGCCCAAGCTCCCCAAGACGGCCCAAGAAGGCCCCAGGACTGCCCATGAAGGCGCCAAAACGGCCCACGAGGGCCCCGAAAACATCCCCACCATGTTTCCGAATGCCAACATGAAGACCCCCGAGGCACCCCAAAAAGCTTTCCAAGGAGCCGTCAAAGCACAAAAAACGTCCCATTCCCGTCGTAAAACTGGCAAGTTTAGCAGATTCGCCTTTCGGATTTTATCAGCTTTCAAGACGGTTTCAAAGCCCCCGAGATCGCCTCCAGACGCCCCAAAAGGCCCCCTAGAAAGCTTCAAGACGGCCGAGCCGGGCCCCACGATCGCCCACGAGAGCCCCAAGACAGCCCATAATGGAACCAAGAGGCCCCCCAAGGGCTCCCAGCACAGACCCAAAAGGGCCGTGGGAGGTCCCCGGAAGTGCCCACGATGGGTCCAAAGGGGGCGGGTTCCAGCGGGCCCAAGCTCCCCAAGACGGCCCAAGAAGGCCCTAGGACGGCCCATGAAGGCGCCAAAACGGCCCACGAGGGCCCCGAGAACACTCCCACGATGTTTCCGAATGCCAACATTCATTGATTTTGCTCCCATGACATTTCATATTGTGACCCAGTCGTTGAGGGTCTCGTGGCATGCAGCGAAGATGCCCGAGGATGCTCCGTACGAGTTGCATAACCCCATGCTCACGATAATAAACACTAGGGGATAATAAAGTTCGGGGTTCAGGGGGAGATAATCAAAGTAGCCCACCAGACCTCAGCAGAATCTCGAAGTAAGAGATGATCAAGAGGAGACCAAACCGAACACGTTTTGAGACATCCTTGGCGTTTAGTCTTCATTAAAATATCCTCAACAATGGCTTATCTCGCTGGAGACATCCTCGACAAATCCCTTGCTTCGCTTGAGACATCCACAAACTATTGCTTATTTCGCTTGAGACACCGTCAAATTATTGCTTATTTCGCTTGAGACATCCAAGAAATAATTGTGTTTTTCGCTTGAAGCATCATCAAACTATTGCTGATTTCGCCTGAACATCCTGAAACTATTGCGTATTTCGCTTGAGACATCCTGAAACTATTGTTTATTTCGCTTGAGACACCGTCAAACTATTGCTTATTTCGCTTGAGACATCCTCGAAATAATTGTGTTTTTTATTCTCGAAGGTCTCATTGTCTGGTTCTGCTCTCTGAGCAGCCATCTGCTTGAGCAGCTCTGCTTCAGCAGCTCACCTTGAGCAGAGAGAGAGATAGTGAGAGAAAGAGGAGAGAGGGAGGGAGAGAGAGAGAGAGGTGAGACTCTCTCTCTCTCTCTCTCCCGCCGCGCGCTCCTCTGAGGTTTATTATCGCCGGCAGTTTTTTATCATCGGCTGAGGTTTATTAGCGTCGGCAGTTTTTTATCATCGGCAGTGGTCAATCGCAACTCCTGAGCTTTCCCGGAAGACGGCGGCACGCAAATGATACGCATTTTTTGAAAAACTTCATGTTGAAAAAAAAGCTTGTTTAAATTGCGAATTCCATTGTAATCCTTTCAAAATTGCGAAATCGAGCCGTCAGGCGCTTGAATGCCACATTGCGTTCGAGATTTAAGCACGCGACGCATTTATGAGAAATTTGCGTCGCACGTGCTTTTGCCCGAATATCGAACGCAGTGTGGCATTCAGGCGCGTGCGGGTTCGAATTCGCAATTTCGAAAGGATTCCAATGGAATTCGCAACCAAATATAGTATTTTTTGTCAAAATAAGGTTTTTCAAAAAAATGCGTGTCATGAGAAAATTGCGTCGCACACGCTTTCGCCTAAATCTCGAATGCAGTGCCGCATTCAAGCGCCTGACGGCTCGATTTCGCAAATTCGAAAAAAATCCAATGGAATTCGCAATTAAATAAAATATTTTTTTTTCAAAATGAAATGTTTCAAAAACATGCGTATCATTTGCGTGCCGCCGTGTTCCCGGAGAGCTCAGGAGTTGCTATCGACCACTGCCGATGATAAAAAATTGC